AGGTCCCTCCCATTCCTCCATCGTTGCAGCCTCCAATGAAGTTCTGCTTCACAAAGACCTTGGGGACGCTTGTGGAGCCACCACACTTGGCGCTCAGGGCACCGCGGTCAAAAGACTCCACAACCTTTGGGGTGTAGCCGGCCTCACGAAGCGCAGCGAGAGCTTGTTGACAGAAGGGGCAAGTGCTGCTCGAGAAAACCACCATGTCGTTGGAATTAATCAGCTCGTCAATGGCGGCCGTGTTCGGAGAGCCCTTGCTGCTACCCGAGTTCCCCATGACAGCGAATTTCTGAAAACCTTGAGAGCCGAAAATAAAGAGCTCCCGCCACAGAGGTGCCACCCCTCCCCACAAGCTGCCACAAGAATGGGACTCTGGCCTCACGAGGGCATCATCCCTGTGAGGGTTCGCTCGGCTAAGAACCCACGACCGTTGCCTCTACACTAGTACCGCCCAGTCTGGGAGAGTAGGGTTGACATGGAGGGAGATGTAGTATATACCCTATACTTCAACGGTTCAACGAGGCGTTGTCGGTGCTGGGGCGGGGAGAACAACCGTGAGTGGCGATGTGAAGGCCGACGGGTTTCATCGTTTTGACGACGCTGTGACTTTATCTACATAACACGCAAGACCAGCACCTGCAGACGCCAGAATCATTTTCTCAGAACATTGAACCTGTGCAACCTCCTCCCTGAAGCTCCGACTCCGCACGACAAAGTTGTTCTTTGCGGATCTTTGTGGCAAACGTTCCAACTAGATACTAGATAAGCACAAAACACGCAGAACATATCTTTCCTCCTCCTCGAAGCCCGCAGGAGATCTTAACGGCTAAACCCCAGACCCTACAACGGTCTATAGTTGCTTATAACAAAACCACCCTAACACCCTCAACACTGCCAAGGGGCTTGGTGTCCTTGCATCCGACTTGGTCACACCAGGGCTGTGACTCGTGAGCCGACTCGCCGCAGGAGCACCAGTAGTAGACATGGTCCTTCTCTACCTGGGCTTGTAAGAAGTGTAAGGGATGCATATCAACGGAGATGCAGAATTCCGCTTTTCTGGCCTTTCCAGTGCAAGACCGGGAAGTTCTTGTGTCCTAGGCTTATTCCATGCTCACATCATACGAGTTAGTTGATGCTTAAGCCATCAGCAGGCCCTGCGGAATTGAAGGGGCGCAGTCGACAAGTCCAGACGAAGTGTTGCATCTGCCATGAGTGTAATTACCAACTGCATGTCGCAGGACGACTGCCGTCGACCATCGCACCAAGCAGAGGTTTGTCGCCGAACTGCCCAACTTTGCAGAGACATCTAGCATTCAGGCCCCCTGGCCATCAATCTACTCCGCACAAACCACGAGTGGTACCCACACCGAAGAGGCAAATCAAACCGTGCGTTGTATTGCTGTCTTATTGGAAGCGTAATACTAACGCGCCAAGGGGCATGCGTGATGTACGGGCCCAACTTCGGCGAGTAGGGCACGGGCTCGTATGGGAACCACCTCCAGGGTGCCCGTCTGTTCATTCATTTCACAAACCAACATCAACAATCAGTTCGGATACTTCAGAGGCGAGACACACAAGGACCTGAACAGGACAACCAATCACAGACGCTTACGAACTATGTACGTCTGTTCATGAATACATGTAACTAAATACAGGTACATGCATGCGACTGCATACAGATACCCCGGATACAGGCAGATTTGCATTCGCAAATAGGTATTTTATTGCTATGGCTTTCGACTTGCTGTTGACTGGCCGATCGTGCAAACAATGGATGCTCTCTGCATGTCTGTCTCGTCGAAGGCACGGCGATATCATTCGCAGAAAGGCCCATCACAAAGAATGGTTAGAGGATGCAACATTGTAAGCAAACATATCCATATATACATAATATATGGAGAGATACATGACACACACGCACATAATGACTATATGTATATTACGTACATACACACCTGCAAAAGACAAATATAAAATGCATGTTCTGACAGATGTATTCGCTAAAAGATAAGCAAGATCATTAGTTTTCTGGTACTTCCGAATCAAAGGAACAGACGCGCAATTCGTAAATTTGTTTTAAAACCCTCGGGCATCCAACCAGTTGAATGTAGCCAAACCACCCCGCTGCCAAACACAAAAGAAGTGAAACGCCCAAAAACCCACCCACAACCGCTCAAAGACCACCCGCAATTCAGGAAACTTGGAGGGAATACAAGCGATTGTGGACCTCAATAGCGACGGCCGCATGGCAAAAAGTAACAGAAAAAAAACAAAAACAACGCTCAAAACCTGACCAAAAACAGCTCCAACACTCAAGATGCGAACCCTGTACAATTTCCACAAAACTTTGAAGACGAAACCACAGAGTCGAGGGTTTAAGGACTCTGTCTCGCCAGCGATGTCTCGAATAAGCCGGATTCTGATCATCTGTGACCGAAAAACTGAAGTACTGTACTTTCGTGAAATTTGCCACTCCTGCCATGTACAAGGTGCTATTCTTGCTTCACATTTAGTCTGAGTAAGTTAAGCCAAGGGGCTTGTTCCAAGGCGAAACAATCTTCGGCGCCCCGTTCTTCTTGGAGACCTCATAGCCTGCAGCTTCCCACTCATCGGGCCTTGCAGGGTTCCGGGCTCAATCTGTAGCTTGTTCTGCTTTGGAGGTGCTGAAGAAGGGTTTCGAATCTCGCGTGAACTGGACCAGACGTAGCAGCGGGCTCAGCTGTAGTTGATTCTCGGAATTGCAACAAGCCGCCAGCTTCAAAGCTGAATCTAAGCCATGAGAAGAGAGCTGTGGAAAGTCCGCATGACATTTTGCCTAAATACCTGGACGGGGCTGGAGTCCAGATCTTTAGCATGTCGTGTCGCGACTTGTCACCTCTGCTGGGTTCAATGCTTGGACATGTGAAAGGGCACTTAACAGGTCTCTCAACAGCCGACAAAGTTCCTTCGTCAAGCTTCCTAGAGTTTCGCGTGCCACATGTGTCACCAGCGAATCAACACTGGCAATGGGAGCAGCGTTCATAACGATGAGTCCCAAGTATAACCCTCGCCTAGCCCAGCCTAGCAATAAGACAACACATATTCTGGAGGAGCAGTAGCATATCAGAACGAACAACAGCAGTAGCAGCAGTAGCTGTTCAGTAGCCGCAGCGGCAGCAGAAAAAGCACAAGGTGGCTGGGAGCAGCCGGACTGGCAGCAAGCGTTGCTGCTAGAACAGGCCCGCAAGCAGCAAGACTTGAGCCCCGCTGCGTTGAGGGGATGAAGGCGCTGGTACGAGCTGCAGCGGCTGATGGAAGCCTGCGAGGCTCAAGTCCCGAAGGCGTGTGTTTGGGCACACGCAAAACAGCACCCGGGTGGAATGACTCTGCAGAATAAGCCGATCCGAGACATGAGCTCCGGTCGGGCCTGGCCAGCGTCCGGCCTTTGGTCACTGCCCTGGCAGGGAGCAAAGCCGTTGAAACCGATACACTGCCCTTGTCTCCTCTTCCCGACTCTACCCTTCTGTTGAGCAACTAGAGAATACTGTGGTTACTATATACACTGAATATTATATACTACCGTTCTGTTCAGCACCTAGAGAACTCGGGATCACCATAATTACCCTTTTGAAACCAAGCCCCAGGACCAGAAGCAGGCTCCGCCTCATGAGCGACATGGCTTCAAGGCCTTAGCAATGGAAGGACTCCAACTTCTCTAGAAAGCAGGGATGGTATGTAACCACCCTGAGCCAAAACAGCCACGGCAAGGAGGTCATGCTTTAAAAACGACCTGGCCACCGTACCACTCTGCAAGAGCCGTCAGCGCTACGGATGACGGCGGAGAGACGCGAAGAACTGCGGTGCTGGCTTTTTCCGAAAACGACGCCGATTTTGAGCACAGTTTGCGGTAGCCTTTCCTCACCGCTGTGGGGTACTGCTTTGGTACCACTCATGCTCTCCTGTGTGCCAGGCGGCACACGGTGCTGTCAGCAGAAGGACTCTGCACTGGATGATGGCTTCCGTCTGGCTTAAACATGTAGCTTGAATCCTTATAGGGCAGCCACCTCCATCTCAATCTGCTTTCTTGCTCACTCGGGCCTCCCCTGTGTCAAGGGCCCGCGTGGAAGAGCTCTGACGCATCCACCAGGCAACCCGAAACGCAGGCAGACTGAGAACAAGGACTGAGCCGCGATCTGTATATCAGGCCTTCTGATTGAACAATAAGATGTAAGCGATAACTTCTGTTGCAACACCTTGACATAACGAGACATGATGCCCAGACATGCGCACGCTGACAGGTACTAGTGCTGCTACTGAGCTGCTTCGTCGTCCTGGGTCCCGGTGGGCCATGCGACAACGCACTGCGCCAGCAGACTTCATCAATCTGCCCGTTTGAGCGCATCGGTCGAACTCTCAAATGTGTCAGAGATCATCAAAGTCGTCGAAGGCCTCTACTTCGTGCTCACGCCTGCCGTGGGTTTCTTCTTCGAACTATATTTCTACTTGCTACAGAGTGGACTCCTCCTTATTCATTGCGGGGATTTTTAGAAGACCAGGAGACCGCAATCCAAATTCCTGGAAGCTACGCCGCTACGGCATCCTAAAGCCCCGGGCCCGGAGAGTCCGAAGCCCTGAGCCCTGCAACCAAAATACCGGGGCACTGAATATTTGGAATAGGGTTCCTTTAAAGGGGTCTATAAGGGTTACTATAAGGGATCTATAAGGGTACAAAAGTACAGGGGCCTGAAAATTTAGAATAGGGCTTGGGGGGTGCATTATACCATAACTATAAGAAGATTAGAATAGGGCTTCGGGGGTGCATTATACCATAAGTATAAGAAGATACAGCCAGAACCCTTTGGGTAAAGGACCCTATACTCTATACTATCCCCATGAAACTACCAAAGCCAAACACTGCCGAGGCCCAGGCAGCCCGGCTTTCATCTCCGCGAGACCAGAGATCTCCTTGTCATTCCAGCATGCAGCAGCAGGGTAGGGTTAGAACAGGATTTTTAACATAGGGGGTTAAGCTTTAGAGTTTGAGGTTCAGGGCCTAATTTAGTAGGGGCACTGGACATAACATAGGGACAAATTCAGCACGAACGGCGACAAGGAGATAGCATAAGTATGAAGATGATACTGTACTTTGAACAGTGAAAGTACTGGCCCAAGCCTCCTCCGTTGGGCCCAAAAGTCAAGGCCCCAAAAGACATAACAGCCATGTCCAGTCGGGATGTTTAACATGGCTTCGCTCTACTGCTCGTTCGTGGGGCTCTACCTGTTGTAGTGGCAGCTTCAAGTTGCAGTGACAACAAAGCCGCACCTCAGAACAAAGCAGAATGCTTTGAACAGTAAGCAACCAGTCGGCAACCTAAAAAGGAGGAGGTGGCCACATGTGGCCACCGTTGCATCCGTCGTGGGCTTCGACTTGCGCTTCGACTTTGGAACGAATCTCTTCGCGATATGCCTGTATCCATTAGGGCCGACCCTCGTTTCCATGCCGGGCGAACAAACTTGATGAGGGTTGCTTTCGCTTGCGACCGCTTCTAAGAGCAATTTCAGAATCGCGGTAGCCGCCTGTTCTTGCTGCTATGCGAGCCGCCATTCTCACTGAGTACTCATTATCAATGCTGCCGTATTGCTCTACTATTCGTTTGATGCCTGCTTTTATGTTCACTTGGGACCATCACTCCCAATGCTGCTAATGTAGGGAGGGTCCTCCAGGATCGAGGAATCCGCGATGACCTTCTCGAGGAAGGACATCCCCTCGTCGGCGAAGCGCTGCAGCACCTGATCTATGCTGCAATTGATGGTAAATGAGGCTGTAGAACATAAAAATCAGGTCTCGGGGGGTTTAGGTCTGCCTACATTTGCATCTGGAATCCTATACAACCAGGCTGCTTGCTGGACTACAATATACTATACGAGTCACCCGAACAAGGGAGCCACCTAAACACTTGGGCATGTTGTTGGTCTTCCGATGGCGAGCACTGGACACAAGCCTTGCCTGAACCGAGCGTGCAGCAAATTGGTGGGTTATTCTACAAAGTGGACCCAGTTTAGGAATGCCTGCATACATATGGCTCATAAGACGTTAAAACTTCTATGGAGCCCTGAACAACTACCAATAGTTAGCTTCCTCAGTATGAGAAAACAGTACAACATACCCCAAACCCCGTTTTCACCTACTTATCAAGGCCCCTATGTTATGTGTTCGGATTTAGGTCGACCCGCATATCCAAAAGGACACTAACGCTTGCGCCAATTCAGATGGAAGCCGCCCGGCCTACAAAGGTGTGGTGTTTCAAGGTTCGGTGTGTCTGTCGGCGCGTGGGTCACATGAGTTAGGGATACTTGTAGGATAGAAGGGATTATTAAAGCAGAAGACTTCAGGCTAATTAAGGTTCCAGGCTGGCGGCTAGCAGAGTTCAACCTGTTCCTTTGACCGGGGGAATACTGAAAAGGGACGGAACTCACGAAACTCATGTCCGGCACGGTATACTTATAAGGACACACGGACCCCAAGTGCAGAAACACCTGGAGAGTCTGCAGCTTTGACGAGTCTTCCGCAAGAGCAAAAACCCGGAGAACACGACCCAACAATGCTGAAAACAAAATGAACCTGCCCTGCTTTAGTGCGGATCATGCCATGGAAACGAGCAGGTTTTTTGTTGAACGCACCTCTGTAAACCCCAAACCCCTGTATCTGTACCCTGCCTGGCCTGAGGGGAGCAGCAGATGCAGCGTGAGAAGGGCTCTGTTTCCACGGGAGACAAAGTATACCTTGGACCCAGCTCAGCTTTCGAACTAAAACATCCGCTAAAACATGTGTGAACTGCACAGATATACGTAACACATGAAGAAAGATAAATGCTGCTACTACTACTACTACTACTACTACTACTACTACTACTACTACTACTACTACTACTACTACTACTACTCATAGTTCTCACTGCTCACTACTCTCACCGTCCCTGCTTGAACGCAGGGGAGGGTGGACGCCTCCTAGAACTCCCGGGATGAGGGGATTTTAAAGAGAACCGCGAACTTCCTGAGCAGGTCGTAAACCCTACCTTAACCCGGATTAACCTACCCAGAGAGCCCAATACCCCTTAATTAAGGAATATACCTTAAATCATATGCGCCCTCTTATAATTTAAGGTATATTCCTTAATTAAGGGGTATTGGGCTCTCTGGGTACCCTTTTAAGGACGTATATAAAGAAAACATATTAGGGAGCCCTGAAAAGCTAGGTTATTCAGGGCTAAGGTAAGGCTCAGGTTTCAGGCAACCACTGAAGTCTTGGCCCAGGATGCTCGGCTGCGTAGCCGCGAACCTGCAAGAAGGCGAGCGGGCTGACCGGGGTTTCATCGGGTGGCGGCTTCCTGCTTTAGGGTTTGGGGTTCCCCAGCCCTACAAGCCCTATAAACCTATGTAAACCTATAAGCCCTAAAACCCTGTAAAGCCTAAAACCTAAAACCCTATAAAGCCTAAAACCTAAAACCCTATAAAGCCTAAAACCACATAAATCCTTGAACCTAACCCCTAAACCGTGGTTTCAGGAGAGCTGGGGCATGGGGGGGTCCTCGACGCTCTGATCGCGCGAGACTCAACTTCATGTGCCAAAGGAAACTGCTGATCTAGACGATCTGCGGAGTCTACTACGTACGTGCAATGCATTGCAGGAATCTCGGAGCAAAAAACACGAGCAACAGCGATTCTCAATCTGGAACATGTCGATTGGAGCATCGTCGAAACAATAATAGGAGTTTCTGCAGGGTCACGGGCATACTGCGAAGATAGGTTGCATGTTGGTACTGTCCACACATATAGCACCCAGAAGCAAATGGAGACGAGATGTTCGAGTCAAGGACGAGTTGACAGAGTGAGCCCGAACAACTACTTTAGTAGGGGCCTTCATCTGATGGCCTTCATGACTAGAATCGGGCTTGGGTGTATTTTTTGACTGCTGTAGTAAACTACAGCCTATTTTAGTTTATCGTAGTATGTTCTTGTACAAGCACTTCTGAGTCCGAAGCTAAGGAGCATACCACATGCAAACAGGCTCGGAGTCGGAAGTCAAAAGGCACCCAACCAATCTGCGCCGACACTCAAAAAACGTACAGGAAAGGTGCCCCAAAATCTGGATCTTGAAACTCCACTACAAAATCTCCGACCTGGTGCGGAACCCCTCCCAAAGGGGAGCTGTAGAGGTTCTCCAGTCCCGTCCAAGAGGGGGCTGCAAAGCCCGCCTGTGCCGGAGCTTCTAGCAGCTTAGCTTGTGTTCGTATCGCATTAACCCAGCACCCACAAAGCTTCAAGCACCAGTAAACCGGAGCATCTGACCCCTCAAAGCCTGGCTAAAGGCTTAAGGTGGATTGAAAGTGCGAAGCGGCCTCGTGTTGTGTTAGGGCTGCCAGAAGCTCGACAGCAACGCTGCTCGCCAAACCCGAGATGCCGGGGCGAGTCACCGTGCACTGCTGATCCAAAGTCCTGGCTGGGAGCTTCAGACAAGATCAGGGATATTGTAGAGGATCCTTATATGGACCCTACAAAAAAACCAGGATCCCCCCAAAACGACTCTCCACATCCTAAGAGCAACCCGACTTTTCTTCCGGCGCTGTATAGAGCTGTGGGGTCCTCGGCCTTTAAAACCTAGCGCCTGCTCTTTCGGTTCTGGCTCCAGGGGTTTGGGGTTTAGGAGTTCAGGGTTTACGTTTAGGGCTTTAGGGTTTAGGCATCTGGGGTTTAGTGTTTGCGGGGGTGTTGAGGTGTCGGACCTGGGGTTGTGATTGCAACAGCTAGGGAGCAGAAGAGACCACGGTTGAGAGAAGACGACCTGTTAGGCTGGACACGAACGCACGCCTGAGGCTACACCCCCCTCCTGCTTCTAAACTCAAGCCAACCCTCTGGAAGAGGAGACAATGACCTCGGCGGGTCCTGAACGCCAGGGAATCCTTGGTGCTGACACCGTTTCAGTCGGGATGCTACAGCTCTGAAGCATGCCAAGACAGGTTGCCACAGCAAAGAACAACTGCCCTTGTTAGAGGCGGGAACCCAACAGCCTGTGCGGAGGCCATGCTTTGGACAAAGGCTCGAGGCAAACAGTCGCCTTCTTTGCCGGAGAACCGGGAGATATGATTCCAAGCTTGCCCAGCTTCCCTTCACTCACTCGCATGAGGAGCCATCATGGGGGCAAAGTCTTAGACTGGCTCTGAAGCTGTCAGAGAAACCACAACAACAAGGTGCGAGCACGATTTGAGCTCAGGCATAAGGTTGCAATACTAGAAATGTTTTGCATTCGTTGCACAGTAGACACGTCTATGTAAATAAATAAATAAATAAATATATATATATATATATATATATATATATAGATACATATGTGTATTTACATGTGTGTGCATGCGTATATATATATATGTATATAAATATATATGCACATACAATGTGTGTATACGTATCTGTAAATCAAACATCTTCTACCTATCTACCTATCCACATCCAAAACTAACTGTCTATCTATCCGTCTAAACACTGATGCACATACCCACCCATCTATCATCTATCTGATTCTCTGTCTTCTACTTCAGCACAGAAGAAGCAGGCAAGCCAAGCAGCCTTTTTATCTTTCCATCTCTCTCTATCGATCGTCCGTCGCCCTGCCCGCCTGCCTGTCTGTCAGTCTTTCCGGCCGTCTGTCTGTCTCTCCCTCTGTCTCTCTGTCTGTCTTGCTGTGTACCTATCTATCGATCTACCTACCTACCTACCCAATCTGTCTGTCTCTACCTGTGCATAAACATATGTGCACATATGCACTCATCATGTTTCCATGTCTCACTTACGTTCCTAAACACTTCTCTACACCGCCTTAATCCTACACCCTCAAGCCTCGACCCCTCAACTCCCGGATCCGAAAGCTTGCAACCAGACAGGTCCCTCAGAACTCGAGCGACCCCGAAACCAGTCCGAGGATCGGCAGGAGCGGTGACATCGTTGCAGAAGTAGCAGGCAGCCACTGCGCTCTTGTAGGTCTGCCTGCTGGCGGACTCTCTGCTTTGAGGGCAGGTCTTGGGGCTTTGGGGGTTCCAGTAACCGCAGGTGTGCAGACGTAGAGGAACAATGCTGGAACTTGAGTCTGACTGGATCTATGGTCTTCCCAGCTGCTACAAACACGTGTATGCTACACCTACGCTGCGTACGATTGCAACAGTCTCCTGCCAAGTTGCTTGACACCATTTAAGCACTCGGGTAGTGCTACCCACCAATCCAGGTCTCCCACGACACATGGTGCATGAGTCTGCATGAAGTATCTGACGCAACGTAGTATTGTCCAAGCAAATGACGACGACAACAATGCAACCGATCAGCCACGAACCCCAAAGGAGCCCTGCATTACCGCTCCTGCCTGGAAACCAAGAAGGAATCGAAGCCGAGCGCAACCGTGAGCCCCAGGGGCGGAGTCTCTTTCTCCTGCCAGGGATACTCCCAGGAATAATTCCCGACCTCCTCTGGTGTGCCGATCAGAGGCTCAAAGCAAGCCCTCGACTGAACTCGCAAGGAGGGTGAAATAAGC